ACTTGAACCTATATGGGATACGATATGCATAGTAAAGACTAACTTTATTTATTCATATTGGATTCAATTTCAAGGGAGACGATATGCGTATACAATAGTTATTTTGCATTATAAATTTATAGGTACGGATGATCTTGCATATGAGACTATCATCTATGTAGGTTTTCCCATGCCTGCATTAAACGTTATTTAATTTTTCTTCTGAAAGAACAAAGATTTGTGCCATATGCGGACCTATAACCATATTGATATTATGTACATGTACATGCTTATACACCCTCTAGAGAATGTAATGTTAACGTTAAATATCAATTTTCCCGTCACAAAATATATAAAACTAATACAAAATCACTGTCCGAGACAAGTTCTTAATCCAATTTCAAATTTGAATTTTTTATTTTATTTAAACAATTTTTTTTTGGCATTACGATCGATTCGAAATCGTTTCAATCCGTCCCAAACAATTAAATGATTAATTAAAATTTCAAATCAAAAAGGAAAACTCACAATTTAGTAAATATTACTATTGTGTTTGTTATTTTGATGTAACTTCTACTTGAGAATAATCGAATAGGTTAAAAAATAATAAATATATATAGTTCGTGATGTATGATTAAACACAACTTACAGATCACAGGTAATGTGATTGTGTGCGCAAGATCATCAATAAAATAAAATAAATGGTTTTTGATACTTTATTATTACAAGTAAATGTCCCCAGTAGTTGCAGTAGTAATAGGCGGATAAGTTGCCAATCAATCATAATAACCGTTATCAGCATCTGTTGTTATTAGAGTTGGGGTATAGAAAAATAGGAATATCATGTCACATATTTTTAAAAAAAATGAATATGTAAATAGTAAAAAAATGTAAACTATAAACTATTAAAAAATCAAAAAAAACCCCCATTCATAAAACCAAACAAATAACCAACGTTATCATCATTAATTGACCCTTTTAGCCGCCCACCCATCATAAATTAATTCAACAGACAGATAGACAGATAGACAGAAAAACAAATACATTTCTTTCGATATAAACAACCAAAATTTGAATTTTTATTGTGTCCAGCACCTCCTTAACTTTTAAAATCCCAAACAATAAATTTTTAAAATCAATAATTAAAGTCTCTTCAAATCACCCTCACTAGCACTACTTCGACGTCTGAGTGGTAACGGGAACGGATACTCATCTTCTTCGTCATTGTTTAAATTGAAACTCATATCAGCCACGCCATTAGTAATTTGATCGGTGTTTGAATACCCACCATTACCACGGATTCTCGGTGATCCAGGTGCAGACAAAGGTTTCGGAAGTTTCACTTTGGAATTATGCAAATCGCTTAGATCATGTCCCGAAAATGAGTCAGGATATGTACGATGAAGAGCAAGTTTCCGTGCTCGAACGTACTCCATTCCCATGATTTTCCAATCAAGAAGATCGGATAATCGTTCAGTGCGATTACGTTGATTGATTCGTTGACGACGTGTTTTTTGTGCAAACGTTAGCATGTAGTTCGCTAGTTGTTGAATTGATTCCTCGACGGATTTCATTCGACGATCGACAATATAAATACCATAATCTGCTGGATTTTCGATGGTTTCGTCCATATAGCAACCGAAACCTGATAGATTGGTAGATATTGACGGCAAACCCATAACTGTACATTCAGCCGGGGTATAGCCCCAAGGCTCATAATAACTTGGGAAAACGCCCAAATGGCATCCACGTACGAAATCGTCATAGTCCATTCCAATTAATGGATTGTTGGAGTTCAAGAATTCCGGATGGAATATCACTTTTACTCTATCTGATGGGTTATTAAATAATTGAAGGCGACGTAACTGATTGAGAATTGGGTCATTACTGTCATCTGCCATATTGTGTGTCACTATTGGAGGAAGTGAACTTCGTTTAAGTGCAATTACACGTCGCTTTAATAAAACCTTTTCTTCGGCGCTAAGTAATTCTGATGGATCAATCACCGCACCGGTAATGTCACCACTTGAATAATAAAAAAATTTAATATGTATTTCTTTTATATTGAAGATAAATAGTATCCATAGAAATCCTTTATTATTTACCCAGTGTATCGAGCAGCCTTCTCAAATATTCGTTGTCCAATCTTATCCGTTATATCTTTGACTGTTTCTTGTAAACTTTTTGTGACAGCTTGACCCTTAAGAGCTTCAACAGTGAAAGAGTGCGTGGCAGCAGGCATAATTATAAATGCAACTACAGTCATTGGTGAGTTGCATGCCTTTAGGCGATCATTTAGCCCTATAAGATTATCAAGTATTTCAATTTAATGAATTTATATTCCCATATTAAATTATGAAAGAAAAATTCTCATATTCAAAATACTCACGTGCTAACGATTCGATAAACATATCAACACCTTTATTTCTATATTCATAACGACCAGCCGTGAAGAAATATAACGTGTTATCGAGATCAAAGTCGTAGTAACCGTAGAAATGACCGCGAACAAAATTATGAATCTTTTGCTTATTGACTGCATGCAAATTCTGGAATTCGTGCATTGCAGAGAATTTAATGACATTAATTCCATTCGGAAGTATTCCATCTAATTAATTTTTATATTAATTTTATCAAGTTATTCGACAAAAAAAAATGGTAGTGAAACGAAACAGAAAAAAGAAACCAACCAGGTTTTCTCTTTAGCAAATGCTCAGCTTCATATGCAGTGATATCGCTCACAGTGGTGAACACATCCGAGCAATGTGAAGCAGCACGTTCCACGCAATATCGATGGTAAATGCCACGTTTTCCAGCCTCTTCATCCACAATAAAGTTTTGAATATTATTATAAAAATCGACAGAGCCAGCACAAAGATATCGACCGAGGAGGGTGGCATGAGTTGTGAATATAGTTGAGACATCAATATGACGTTTTCGGATAAGTGGGATTGCTATGCCAGCTAACCATTCGTGGAAATGAGCAATAATAGCTTTATGTTTTTCACGTTGCGAAAACTATTAAATATGAATTATATATTATTGATCATAATAGTAATAATTGTTATCATCAATTTAATCGCAAAAGATAATTACATCTCCCAGGAACCAAGCGATCAGATAACCAAATAAGATAGCTTCATTAGTTTCCGTATCATTTGGAGGCGAAGGAATATTCGCCACGTTCCACAAATCTCCTTTCCAATCATCCATCCTATCTAATACCGATTGTGTATCGAATAGAAGCACACGCGGGGCTCCTTCAATCAACCAACGGCCGTACATGTATCTCACTCCTTGCGAAGCCATGCCCTCAAGAACTTCGCGAACATGCGGTGTGGTTGGTTCTTCGGGTTCTACTTCTGCGGCTGCAGTTTTGTATGAAAGAGGGCCAATTAGGGTGAATCGATCACCGTATTCTTGACATGTTACCGGTGCTTTGGTTTTGATAACGGTGTAAATTCCGCCGACTGAATATCGAATGGAAATTAATTAATTAATTAAATTTGGTATAGCAAATAAATCCATTGACAGTTATTATTGAGACTATCTATTAATTTACAGTTGAAACCCACTATATATTCCAATCCATTAAATTCTAATTAAAAATCTAATACTACTCGAAAAATTAAATAAAAAAAAAAATAGAATCTAAAACAACTTATTCACACCTTTATTAGCAACTTCCCATGCAATCTCAAATAACAAAGGATTATGTACGTCTCGGTGCGGCATGATTATTGGTATATTTTAAAGTTTTTATATAGCTTTCTACTGTGAAGCGAAGAATCGCCTAACAAAGTAACTAACACGAAAAACACGTCGTCGAAATGTTAATCGAAAAATTGTTCGAATTGCAAGGTATCGCTCAAGCTATTGTGTAACACACGCAACAGGAATGGGGAGAAAAGGCTGATAGGGAAGAAGGAAAACAAAAATAGTGGCCATTTTATAGCATGCGTAAAAAATTGTTTTTAATAAACATTATCTTGATATGATTAGTATAAAAAAAATTATGTACTAAAAAAAATAAATTTGTAATGGCGTGATAATCAAACTAACTTATTTCGATTTTTTTGACGTTGTGTGGTGCCTAAGGCTAATTGGATTCGACTATTTAAAACTAACCAACGCTACTATAACCAGCAAGAAAAGCACCAAGATTGCAGCCTGATAATGGAACGATGTGATTTCACCGAAAATTATACGAACAAGGCAATTTGGCTTTTTTTGTTTTAAAAAAGTCAATTTGGCGAGATTCACGTACACAATAATGGGATGCACCAGTAAGGGATAAATTTGCTTTGGATTAACAATATTAGGAATTAAGAAGTTTATTGCCCCAGAAATATAAAGTTATCTTGATATGTCACAAAATGATTCAAAGATAAATTAGTATTATTATTATCAGCACTAAATCTTGTTTTTAGTGTTGTGGTGGTGTATTTAGATAGATGGCAAATGCCGAAAAGCAATGTCTATGCGTTTTCATGTGCAGATGTTGTTGGTGACGCTTATCCGAAATTCACTTTCACACACACACAGATATTTCCGCCATAATTGGAAAGAGTAACGATACATTAATGTTTGATTACACGGGGTGAGTGATAAAAAATTCATAACGATAACGCTAATCAATGACAACACGTTCTCTTATGATAGTAATGATATGCTAGAGCAAAAAAATAGTATAAATCCGCAATGAAATCCATATTAAGACTGCAATTCACTTGAACTAGAAATATAATTTCCAATTATCGTCTAAAAAGGGTGCTAGTAACAGTTCTCTTTGATACGTTTCTAATATCTGGTAAACTCGTAGCAAATTTGGTTTTGGTTTCGAGTTCAACTTAAATCTGTTGCAATATGCATCAACTTTAATAAGATTAGTTCTGAGAGAATTTATAGCAAAAAGTATTTGTAATAACTCCTTTTGTGCTCTTATTCGGTCATTGTAATCTTTTAACGCATTAAACCGGTGGTTTTTGATTTCATTCCTCGCTTTTCGTTCACCATCGATTAAATGCTCGCGCATCTTTTGAGCAGTGTGCTCTGTTTGATCTAAGTAGAGGATAACCCTGTGTAAATTTTCTCGAAAACTGGTAATTATAGAGTTCAGCATCTGGAAACGGATTTCTAGAAGCTTTTGCGTGTATTGATATTTTCCATATTCAGTCTTATACCTAAAGGCAAAAGTATGCGCATTGAAATGTCCTTTTTCGATTTCCGATAGAGCTCTTTTGATCAATGAAACTTCAATTTGCATTTTTTTAAAGGATTTTGAAGCTATGTAGCAAAGATCAACTATTCCTTCTTCAGCGGTTTCAATATTTTTTGTTAGGTGGAGGAGAATCTCAGAAATATATGCATCGTTTAATGTATCCGCGAGATCCAGCAAGATGATACGATGTTGAATCATCTCTTCTATTGATCAATAATGTCAAGATTAATAACGATTGTACAAAAATTACCAAACATTGTACCGGTACCTTGTATAATATTTGCCCAATCAACGAAACTGTCAGAAGTCGATTCTGTCGGACGATAATTTTTAACCTATTAAATAAATACATGCTTAATCCATATTTCAACTTTAAATTATTATAATATTGTTCCAACTCACAAAATACACGTAATAGCCACTCCCGTAGATCAACAAAACGATAAGAATCGATAACAATAACTTGATTTTAATATTTCTCAAATTCCAGGGATTATGCATTATTAAACTAAATAACACAAAAATATTGTTGATATGATTATTATCGTTATTGTTTATATGTTCATTATTATTGTTGCTGGAAGGGCTTGATGAGTTATTTTGTCGGCGACGTCGAAGAAGTGTAGAGTTTTTTTCGTCGTCTTCACCTTAATTATAACGAAAGACGGAAAACTTAACGATAATGTTTGAATTGGCGCTTCATTATTTTTACATACCATCAACAGCTTTAATATCGACAATATTGGGCTTTTCATTCTCAACTTCAATTCCTTTATTCTTTTTATCGCTATCATTATCGGTGGTTTTCTTTAATACGCTTTCATTTTTACACGATATATTATTGTCTTCCCTTAATTCACCCTTTTTTTCTTTATTTATTCCTATTTCATTTTCATTTTGTTTCTTGTTTTCTTGATTTTTTTCTGCTACTTGTGTCATATTTTTATTTTATCAAAAGAACATTAATAAGAAAAATTTGCAGTATTTAATGATTAATGAAATATTGTCATTATGTCATAAGTTAATCAATCGAAAACACATTTTGTGTTTGGTAAACATAGGAAATATTTAATTTCGATAAATAACTCGGAATATTTGCTCAAATCAAGCAAATCTCAGAATTTAAATACTTAGAAGTAGATTGAATAACTTTACTTATTCCCTTATATATTTGAGATGTGTTCTTTTTAATATTAAGTATCAAAAAGATTATTTTGAATTGATTGAATAATCAATTCAAATTCCAGATTGTTTTAAAATTAACATAGTTACAAAACTTTTTTGAATTAAATAAAAATTTATAAAAAATATTATTGTTTAAAAATATTATATATAGTTATTGATATTTAATATTAAAGAAGTATAATTAAACAAAAATCTTATTAATATTTCTTATAAATTCAAAAAGTTCTTTCAATTCGTATTAATAAGTCATTTTATAAGTTTATTTATTAAATTATAAGAAATTTTAATAACTTTTCATTATATATTAAAAAAAATATAATTAAATTATTTGTTTATATGATATTTTAACAGAATTTTAATATATAAAATATACAGTGGCCATCAAAAGTAATGCAATACTTAAATTTTTTACTAATTATAATTAGTAAAATATTTATTTTTCCTTAAATATAAAAGTTTTTAATTTTACTACCAAATATTTTAATTTTTAGCTCAAAAAATAGCTAAGATCTTTTACTGGCAACTTGTTCTAATTGCATATGAAGTCAATTAATTTTTTTAATAAAAATTAATTGACTTCATATGCAATTAGAACAAGTCACTGATAAAAATCTGAAAAATCTGAAAAAAATATGTTAGTAGTTAGTAGTTTCCTGAAAACTACTAACTACTTAGATTATACTATAATATACTCAGGTATGACGTGTGAATCATGAAATTCAAGTCATTTGAGTGATGGGTCAATCGCAAAACTCAAGTCACTTGACTAATGATATATCCCTAGGTATGACGTGTGAATCATGAAATTCAAGTCACTTGACCAATGATATACCCCTAGGTATGACGTGTGAATTGTAAATTTCAAGTCACTGTTATTATTTGCAGGTCCGATGTGAGGGCTATACCTGAATCTGGCACGTAGTGCTTTAGCTTTCTGATTAATTCCTCGATAAGGGCCAGATTTAAGACATGTAATACCAAAATAGTATTTGAAGGATGAGGCATATAGTGCCAAATATTATCTGTTATATTATACTCAAGTATTGATCAAGGTTGAGATATGTAGTACCAAATTGTTAGCAGTTGTTAGCTTTATATAATTTATTCGAATATTATCTGAGAATGAGATATATATCGAATTAGTATTATTTATTTGATAATACGTAAAAGCAAAAATTTATCTTATCTCTTTCCTTATAATATTCTACCTTTGTATATTACTTTTTTTTGATATCTGAATTCTACTATCTGATCCTTCTTTTTTTAGTAATACATAAAAGCACAATTTTTTCTTATCTCTTTCCTTATAATATTCTATCTTTGCGTATCACCAAAAGTTTACTATATTTTTTAGCTTTGGAAATCTTTCTTGTATAGTTGATATCTTTGAATACTTTAGCTTTATGTTAAAAAATTAGATTGTACTACTATATATCACATATGTATTATATTTTAATAACCTTTATGTATCACTTTTTTAATACTTCATACCAGCTCTATTAATATTTATCTAATTATATGTAAAAGCTCAATTTTTTTGTAATCTTTGTATATCACTTTTTGATAATCTTTGCGTATCACTTTTTTTAGTACTTCATGCCAGCTTTGCTAATATTTATCTAATGATATATAAAAGCTCAATTTTTTTCTTACTTTTGTGTATCACTTTTTTAATATCTATTTGATGATATATAAAGTTTGAGTCCAATAAAAATTACACGACACAAAAATCCAGGTATTTAAAGTTAACTAAATTAATATTAGCTTATTATGAAAGAAATTTCTCAAGGAATATATATACCCGTATGTGATTCTTCAGAAATAAAACAAGTTAATGTTAAAAAAGGAGATATTAGTAAAATACTACAAAGTGATTATAATGATCATGTAACAATTTTTAGACCAAAAGATTTTCATTTGATTTTATTTTATGATGATGATGGTCAGAATAAAAAACTGCCTGTAAATTCATTAACAACTTGTTTAATAAATTAACGAACAGGATGAGATAATATTCTCATCTCAGGATCTGCTTTATTATTAGATGATTATAAAAAATTAACTCTTGATGATTTGCACTTTTTGTTGAAAGAACTATTTGATATAGAGGAGGAAAAAATAGCTGTAAAAAAGATGAATGATGTGCTTAAAGATCTAAAATCGCGTGGTGTAAAACACTCTATAATATTTACCTAAGTTTTAATTTTACATAAAAATATGATGAGATATTTCCTTATAACTGCAACAAATATTAGACATGGTTAAAAAGATATTATATTCTTCTATTATAAATAACTTCAAAGTTCAAATAGCCAGTTCCTAATACCTAACCTATGCATCTTGCAACTGATCACTTTTTTTACTGACTCCTCATTCATGTCTCAATATAATGAACTATATAACTGTAATAATTAATAAGATAAGAAAGATATATGCAGATAGAGATGACATCAAAGTGCTTACCATAATAGGAATTACTTCTATTCCTCTCATCAAAATCTGTAGATATGATTTAATTAGAGAGAGAGTATAATTTTTCCATTGTACAAGATATGGGATCATATTCTCAGATATATCTGGTTTTATCAATGTATCTAATATAATATCTTTACTAGTTTCACTATTATTAATTTCATCACTTACCTTAGGAATAATCTTGGTATTGACTTTTATTAGTTCAGTAATTTTATTATCAGTGTGATCCGGCATAATAATGGAGCTATTATCAAGATATGTATTGATTTTTTTGGTCTCATCCATATTTTTTCCATGTATAAAATATTTACTAAGATTTTTATTAGATTTACTAACTGCAGATATATCATTAGACTTGGTTATATTTTTTTTATCAACCTCCCCAATCACAGAATGAGATACATCTTCCAATTTCATATGCCCAAGTTTACTAATTTTCAAGACCAGTTCATCCTTTAAATTTACCAATTCAGACTTGAGAGACATGATCTCAGATTCTTTTTTTGATATCTCTTCCTGAGTCAAAACTACGTTATTCTGAGCTGATGTTAATCTATCTTCTAATATTTTTTCATATACCAAAGTGTTGTAATTTTCTTGGATTTTATATCAATCTCAAATTTAGAATTAGCAAGAGAAATAGCTTTGCTAGCATTTTCAAACTGCAGATTTTGATTCTCAGTAACAATCTCTCCTAGTTTTTTACTTCACTTTTTTCTATCCCAATCCTATTGTTCTCTCTCTCAATTAAATTTTTTTTCTTGTTTTCCATACTTATCTCGCAATTTAGCATTATAAGAAGCTATCTCAGAAGAATCTTGGAGGATATTATATAATTCTTTCTTAAGGTCTATCATATTGGCCATATTAAATAATAAGAAATATTATGGAAAATAATAAAATATAGGACATATGATATATATATACTTATTTGATAAAGCTATCAAAAAAAATATGCCTCTAATATAATTCAACAATATTAGATAATTACTGATTTTTTTAGAAAATTATTAAATATTAAGTATGTAATTACATATAATTACCAATCTTTTTTGATCATAAGAGGTATAGGATATTTTCAATAATCTTCGATAATTTTTGATCATAAGAGATATAGGCATATTTTAGTATTTTCAATAATCTTCGATAATTTTTTATAATTATAAAAAAAAGGATGGAATACATAATCATGGAATATTATTATGCCAGTACTCCTTATCTATCTCCAAAAGCTATTGAAGAAATAATTCAATCTCGGAGGACTATTAAAAATGCATGTAGGGAAATAGCTGATAAATATGATACTTTAACTCGTAGAATTTATGAAATTTGGAAAAGATATGCTCAAGGATTACCCCTGTGCAAATAACAAATAATACATAGTGTTGCTTCTTCTGAGGTAATACCTGAAAATAATACTTTGAATAGGCAGTTAAAGAAAAGAAAATCAGGATCTAATCCCAGATCTGTTTGAATATCTGATTCAGTCAATATTATTAATAAGGCTGACATGACTAATAATCCAATAAAAAACGTAGATAAAATGAATGTCCTATAAGCTAAGCTTACACAAAGTCACAAAGAAAGAGAAGAAGGTAAACATGAGTCAAAAAGATTCATAGATTCCAACTAATCTATTTTTGTTTTTTCTAGAATAGTCTGTAATCCACATAGTATTTCAATATCTGACTCATTTCTATATATCTGTAGTTTTTTATTAAGCTCAAATAATTCAGTATGAGAATCAAGTACCTCATATAATATTTTTTCGAGTTCCTTATAGCTTATATATTTTTTTTAAAGTCAAATTGACAGAATCTAGGGACAGAGTCCCATTACTTTGTAATAAGCTAAAACCTGCAGGAGCACACCACTTATCAAATGGTATATTGTCATTCTTACCACTATCTGTCTTCTGAGAAATTTGATCAGATACCAAGGGCTTATCATCTTGAGATATGGTTGTGCAGTTCACTTTGAGCTTGTTTTTGATCTTATGTATAGTTATAGGAATAATAAACTCTTTATCATTATAGTGAATCTTTATTTTATCATTATCCCAGTCCACAACATATTTATATTTCTTGAGAAGTGGATTCAGAAATATTAATATCGGTTTAGGAACTCGTATAACTACAAAATCTTCATGTATAGTAAAACCTGAAGGGAATATTATTAGTAAATTACGAGCCACACCAATAGATTCTGTTGGAATAGTGGTAACACCACTAAGATCATATTTTTCTGATTTATCTATTTTCTCACCTATATGTTTAACA